TTAACCGCTTAATTTATCAATAGTAATCAATATTAAATATTATTCACTTTGTTTCTAACTAGCAGCCTCTGTTGACTAGCCCGCACAACTAGTCGTTCTCTCTATTTTCGTTTTTTCCTTTGTATATTTTTTTCACTAGTGTTAGCACTAGCCTGAGCATTAGGCGATTAATTAACGATACAATTATAAAGTTATCAATTATCGTTATTATTAATATTATAATTTATTATTATTATTATTTATTATTATTTATTATTATTATTTATTATTATTATTATTATTATTATTATCCGTGGTTCGTGGACCGGTTAACTTCCGTTTTGACCGATACTCGACCGATCGGATCCCCTCGACCCTTCTTTTTCTTTTTCTTCTTCTTCTTCTTCTTCTTCTTTCTTATTTTTCTCTTCTTAATCGTCAGTATTTTTTCTTTTTTTTTTTTTTTATTCATTTTTTTTCTCTCTCTCTCCTTTTTAAATGTTCACACATTCTCGAAATAGAAAAGCATTTTTCTTTTCATTTTTTTTTTTTTTTTTCTAATTTCGACTACATTTTTTACGTGTCGTCTAAACAAGCATGTGTACGCGTGTATACGTGTCTGTGTTCCTTCATAAATATTATAAAAAAATATAATAGAAAATTATAATTTCGTTATAATATTTATAAACTACGAAATTGGCACTAGAAATTTCTCCTCCTTTTTTTTTTCCTTTTATTTATTATTATTATTATTATTATTGTTATTATTATTATTATTATTATTATTATTAATATTAATATTATTATTATTATTATTTTCTTTCATAATCTCTTCGCTTCGTCGTTTAATTCTTCTTCTCAGAAGAGCGTAGCAAATTAACCTTTTTTTTTCTCTCTTTTTATTTTTATTTTTTTTTTATTTTTTTTTTTTCTTTTTCTTTCTTTTTCCCTCGTAAACTAGACTCTACACGTTTCCTCTTACAATTTTACAAAATACCACGAGCGTGTATGTACAAAAACACACGTTTTTTTCGGAAGGGTCTCGAAAGCGGATAATAATTAGGAAACAGACGGTCGGTTTTATAAAATCGCGCGGGAAATTATTATGCACACACACTTCGATATTTCTTTTTTTTCTTTTTCCTTCTTCTTCCTCTTTTCCTCTTTTCTCGTTCGCGCTCTTTTCTCGTCGCTTTCCTTCGTTTCTCCTTCGTTTCTTCGTTCGAAATTTAAATTGTCTACGGATTATTATTGTTATTATTATTATTATTATTATTATTGTTATTGTTATTATTGTTATTATTATTGTTATTATTATTATTATTGTTATTGTTATTGTTATTATTATTATTATTATTATTATTATTTATCATCGGTCGAAGCGGACCGATCGGCGATGATCGGGAGACGGTTTCTTAATTAGGAGACGAGATGAGGGGTCCTTACTCACGTCCGTCGAGGACACTCAACAGAGAGAGAGACAGAGATAGAGATAGAGACAGAGATAGGTAAAGAGAGAGAGAGAGGAGAGAAGAGTCGGAAATTAACAGCGCGTCGAGAGAGGAGAACGCTTCCGGAACGGCGCGCGGAAGTAGTAATAATTGACCGAAACGCTCCCTCCCCCACCCCCCTCCTCCCCCACAAGAACGGAACCTTTCCTTCACTTTTCGAAAATCAAAAAATTTTCCACAGACACATCGGAATTTTAAAAAATCTGTTTCTTTTTTCTTTCTTCACATTGGTGGCGATTGGTGGAGAAGGATCAATTTTTCGCGAGCGTAACAGAGAGAGAGAGAGAGAGAAAAAAGCGAAAAGACGAGAAGCGTTTATCATCATCACGGAAAAGCGGAAAGGCACCGTTCCTCGGAGAGGAATGAAGAAGAAACAAGTCGCCCCCTTGAATCCCTTGGCCGCAATCGGGCGAGGTTTTGGCAAGGTACGCCCCTCCCCTTTCGGGGAGGGACCGGAAGCGGGATCCACCCCTCGACGCGGCCCCCTTAAACTACGATCAGACTCTCAGGCACTCGATTCTCCGCAGGCTTAGGTCGCGAAGCTGAACACGACACGGGGAATCCTGGCGACCCCCCTCCGGCTCAGGGTAACAATTATCGTACGCGCCGGTGAGTAACGACCCCGTGGAACACGCGAGCTTCTCCACGCTTTCCGCTCCAAGCCTCCAGTGTCACGGGGGAGACTTGGGCCTCCGCTCTTGTCCTGCATCACTTGTTGCTGCTGCTGCTGCTGCTGCTGTTGGCCAGCTTGTTGCTGTTGAGGCTGCGGCTGTTGTTGTTGTTGTTGTTGTTGTTGTTGTTGCTGCTGCTGTTGGGCCTGTTGATGGTGGTGCGAGGTAGGATCGGTGGCCACGCCCAGATCCGTCCCCATCAAATTACCAGCCCCGCCGCTCTTGTCCACCACGCTGCTCGTGTGCACCGGATGGAAGTATCGGTCTGAAATATTTCCCTTTATTAGAACACGAACGATTTCGAATAAATTGGCAAATAATTTTATCGTATATATATATATATATGTGTGTGTGTATAGGATTTATAGGACAAGATTCGAGCTTCGGATTCGAATCGCGTATAAACCTTCGTCCATGGTGGAGGGGGGCTCGCTGGCTGTCCCCGTGATGATCGGAGCGATCATGTTGTAGTCGTCCTCGAGATTGATGAACGGCGCCGTGTTCCAACGGGGCGGCACGTTGGAAACCGATCTCTGGGTGGCGACCGGCCTCGTCACCGAGACGGGCGACGAGAACAGGGACAGGTTGGTGGGCGAGATCACCCCCGACATCGAGCTGATCGTAGGATACGTGAATATTTGCTGAAATCAATTCGAGAATTTCAGAATCGAGTACTTTTTCCAGAAAAGGAGGGGGGGGAAAGAGGAAGGGAGGGAGAGGGAGAGAGAGAAGAGACAAACGAACCTGTCCAGGCTGAGAGTGAAAGTGAGCAAACGTGTACTCCCTGCTGGTGTGGGGCGCCGTGACGAGGATCCTCGCTGGGCTCTTCCTTCCGGCCGGATCCACGGAGCTCTGGCAACCGGAACTGACCAGTCCCACCGCCGCAGCGGCGGCCATTTGCTCCTGATTGGACGCGAGCTCGGCCGGGTCCGTGGGCGAGGTGGACGAGGTGGGGGGCGAGTTCGAGCTCGCCGCCGTCAGCTCGCCCGTCGACCTTATGATGGCGACGGGCCTGGCCATCGGGGCGGGGGGAGGCGGGGGCAGCATCGAGCTCGGATAATACTGTGAGAACTTTTGTATACCAGTCCGGGGTCCGGCTAGCTGCGCCTGGAAACACCACACGCCCACCGATCAACGTCGCCGACCCGCGCGTGATCCATTCACCCCGTTTTCTCTCTCTCTTCGTTTCCCACGACACGACTCGACTTGTTCCTTCTTTCGCAAAATTTTGCGCGCGAAATAAAACACGGTTTCGGACACGAGTTGAAGAAGAACGGTTGATAGAGATAGACGGTAGAGATAGAAATTGGAAATTTGTCGTTGGTGAACGAGATTGTATTGTACCGCGAGTCTGAACCGTCTGTAAATAAATAATAATCGGTGATAAAAATCGAATTCGAAAAAAATCCAGGGCGATTGGAACACGGATGACGAGCAGGTCGGGCGAGAACCGGCCCCCGTTGTCCCCTGTTCATCCCCTCGAGGGGAAGGACGATCCTCGAGATATATATATATATATCCTCTTGGAGAAAAAATGGAGGGGGGAGAGGGGGGCAAGAGCAAAAGACAATGGCGGCGGGTTTTTTAAAAAGAGAAGGATACGGAAGCTACCTGGGGCAGTTGCTGGGTATTCTCGGCCTCCTGGCAGACGAACGTCACGAAATCCGAGAGGGTGTCGTGACCGTTCTCGGGGTACTTGACCACCCCCGTGGAGGCAGGGTGCTCCGGCTGATAGTAGGCGAGGCCGGACATGGCTTGACCGGAGCCACCGGCCAGTCCTTCGTGAGGAGAGTGCAGTCCTGAAACACAATTCACCGATGTCACCCCCTCTTGCTACGTGGCCCACAGCCACGGCGAAAACCACCCCCTTGTTCAACGACAACGCTCCGTTTCTCACTCCCTTCTTCTCCCACTTCCTCTTCTTCTCCCCTCTCCGTCCCGTCTCCGTCTTATTTTTCACACGTTCCTTCAGTTTAGCCGACCGGGTGTGATCCTCCTTTCTTCCCGTTAAGATCGAGGCGATAGAAGAGATCGAAGAGAGGGGAAACGTGTACTTTTTTTTTTCCCCCTCCCCGAAACCGATGAATATCGATCGAAGAAATCGGAAGATATCTTCACTTTTCGTATTTATTGAATATTACCGATCGAGCGATCCGCGTCGATAAGATCGGGGGGAAAAAAAGAGAAAGATATATATATCTCCCGATATAAATATCAATAACACCTTTTTGCTTTCCGTATTTATTGAAATATTATCGATCGAGCGTCATATTATGATCCGCGTCGATAAGATCGCGCGAAAAAAGAAGGAAAAAAGTGAGACAGATATATATTTCCCGATGTACATAATATTTTTGCTTTCCGTATTTATTGAATATTATCGATCGATGGTAAGGGAGGATCCACCCACCAGATTGTTCCGTTTCGTTTCGCGTTGTCGCGGAGAGATTTCTCTCTCTTAAGAAAAAAAAAAAAGAAAAAAAAGGTAGAATACTCGAGCCAAGAGAGGATTTTGAATAATTCTGGGCTCCGATTAGACAAACCGGGGATCTCGATGTTGTTCGTTTGTGGTCGGTAAATGGTAATTGTTAATGCGGAGAATGTTAGTAAAAGTTGGATCCCGCCGCTGGAGAGAGCTTAGCAGAAGAGGGAGCAAACAGAGGTAACGATTGCTGCTGCGAGTCTTGTTAGGGGGTGGTTTTAGTGGTACTTTCGAGGGGGAGGGGGTCGACCAACTATAACGATCGTGTTAAATATATATATATATATATGTATAAAATATATATATATATATATGTGTATGTGTGTATATATAGATACATATACATATATATGTAAGGCGCTCCAAGCGTGAGGCTGGCTGGCTGAAATGTACATGTATTTTTATATATACCATGTGTACGCGTTTGCGCCCGCGTTCACGGGTAAAATTTCAGAAAATTTTATTTTATTGTTTCTCTTCGTTTTTTTTTTTTTTTCTTTTCGAATTTTCTTACCTCACGTTTTACATTTAAAAATTTTCGTCGCGCGCGCGCGCGCGTACACACGTACGTCACATATGTGGTTATATATACATGTATGTATATATACATATAGATATGTATATATATATATATATTGGACAGAGAAAGAGATATATATAGATATATAGTGCAACAACAAACATCAAACAGCAAGATAACAACGATTAAACAACACATCAAAAAAAAACATCAAGGTAACAACAACATCAACATCAATACAATGATATACATATATATGCGGTGATATATATGTACGTATGTATGTATATATATATATGTATATGGTAAACAACAACACCAACATCGCAACAACAATATAGAATGTATATTATGCATATATATAGTATATATATACATATATATATATATATGTATGCATGTGTATATATATATATACATATATATACAATATATATATATATATATATATAAGGTAATATCGTACGGAGAGAGAGAGAGAGAGAGAGAGA